AGTGAACAACTGACCAAGGCAATGTATGGTTTGTACCAAGGGGATTGTGTACTCTGTACCAGAGAGGCATGCGGGTATTTCGCATCATTTCTTAACAATGATGAGAGGATAACAACAAATGATAGATGGGCATATGCATGCAGCGATCTGCCATGAAGCATTTACTTTGCAGCAACTTTCCGTGCGGACATTTCACACATTTGTTGACGACAACACAAGAATAAGCTGAAACGAAACGTTTAAAAAGAGAGAGCACACTTTCATATAGAAATGAAGCACATGATGCGAGGCTTTACTCTAGCGAAGGACAAACTCTGCAGACAACAAAAACTGCGGCAGCCTTTCGGCGTCCACAGCATGGCCCTTGTTCCTCGTCCACTGACGAAAAATGATGGATATGTATTGTATACTCGCAAGCTTTGAAGCATCGTTAGCTTACCTTGTGCCAGAGAACCATGTGGGTCACATTTTCAACCATTCCCCTGCTGAACATTGGTAATCGGAGGAAAGAGAGGATGTTGGACCCTCCCTCCAGCTTCTTCGTGAGCCGTTTGCGGAGACTTGCAGGAATGAAATACTTGTTCTTGTCAAAGACAAGCTCGTCATCGTTATACCCGCCATGGAAAGCAACGTCAAGACCCACCTGATACCCAAAAAGGAGAAGTGGTTAACAGAGCCGTAAAATTTCAGGGTTTTGTCAGGGTCATTATAGCAAACGTTGCACAAGTTTTAAGCCAGACTTGTCACCAGTCCATAGAGTGGACACAAAATAAACCAACAGCAAAAAAAAGAAGCACAAAAATGGATCAAAGGGGCCTTGAACACAAAAGGCAAAAGTTTGTTTTCATGCAAAATTCGCTCTTTTCAACCCGAACAAGTGTGGAGACCAGGCCTTGGAGTTTGTTAATAAAGAAAAAAAAAAACAAAAAGCATCCCAAACAGCTGAAACGGTGCGAGGGCGATTGAGCTGTGAGTAATCTCTTAAACTGCCCTGCAACCGTCTTTCTTGCTTCTCTCTTTTTTTACTGCTTACAGAGATCTTCTTGGCTATACATATGTTCCTGGTACTTTCTTCAAAACAGTTGGAAACGCCAGGGGCGAGGACCCACTCGCAAAGAGGATTGGATTAGGCGCCTGAATGTGGATGTGTTTTATGCAGAGATGCAGAAAAGAAGACCAATTGTGATTTTCTGCACCTCTTCACAAACATGTCCAGATTCGGGCTTGGAATCCAAAACAGTTGGAAACGACAAGGGGCGAGGTCCCACTCGCAAAGAGGATTGGTTTAGGCGCTTAGGGGATTGAGCTCCCACTTTCTTCAATTTTTCCCCCCCGTTTCTATCATCCCGAAGCAAAACGCTTTTACAAAACCTTCTGCCACGTGGCCCTCCCTGTCCTCCCGAACTCATCCACAGCGTGCAGCCCAGGGCTACCCTGTAGATACAAACTCCACACACACGCACACACAAGCACATGGGGAAAAAAAAAGAAGAAAAAAAGACGGACCGAAGAACACCTCCCCATGCAACAGCAACAACCAAGTGTCACCCACGCTGCACATTCCCTATCGCTTATTCCCACTAATAAAATCTACC